TAATAATGCATTTAAAACATCATTTTTATAAAAATTAGACTTGAAATTGAATTAAAATATGCAAATATTTGTTAATTACTGTCAGTCTTGTTGTCAATCGATAAACATTTATCAGAAACGCGATTACTATTGAAATGAAAGTCCAATTACTATATTTAAGTCCTATTCCTTTCATTCAATATTTAAACTATAAATCAAAAATACTTTTATCGTAGAAATTATAGAAATGTTTAATAATTTGTTTTTATTTTTATAACATTTTAATTAAAATATTAATTCAAGTAATAAATTATCCTAAATAAATAATTTGAATTTTATAAATTAATGTAGTTGGCATTTTGTTTATTCCACATTTATTACTGTATAAGTTTTATAATTATTATCATTTAATACTTGTGGCAAATAATTAAGATTTAATTTATTTAATACTCACACTTATTGAGAAAATTTATAATTAATTTAATTAAAATAATTATTCAATTTTAGGATTTAAATAAATGTAATTAAAGTTTGGTCTAAATGTGTGACAAATATTAGTGAATAGATGTCAGTCTTGTTGTCAACACTTTGTGTTGGCTTTGAATTCAATGTAAATATTATCACATGTTTTGCATTGAATTACAAAAATACAAGTAAAGATTATTTATTTATTCATCACTTCATTTGATCCCAAGATATGGCACAACAGATGACACCAAAGATGGCATCACTCGAGACCACAGATGACGGCAATGAAGACAACAGACAACAGGTATTTCACAAACAATTCACTGTTTATTGACTTAATTGTTTTTGTTTGACATTTTAGCCTAAGATTTACGCGAAGAACTCAATGGACAGATTCGGTGATGACTTGTATGGACTCATATTATCTTATCTCTCACTCGAAGATCGGTTTCGATGTGAATGTGTGTCCAAACAGTTCCAGAGGACAGTCTTTGAGAGTGTTGTGGACATCACTCTTAGCGACACATTTATTAACAAAATATTGAAAATTAAGGGACAATTGTTGACCAGAATTGTCATAAAATTCACAAACATTAAGACCATTGACTGCCGAATAATAAGCGAAAAATACAAGAAACGCGTTCCCGAAGTGTTGCAAATATTTCGAGACAATTGCCGGCATTTGAGGGAAATTTACTGTAATTTACGGGAAAATAGTTCGCAAACAATGAGTTCATTGTTACCACTGATCACACGAATCGGTAACTTATGTAAAGAGTTTTGGATATCTGGACCAATTATCAATGGAATTGATCCGAACAGTGAAAGCCAATCACTCATTCATTGCCACCGATTGTCTCATTTAAATATCAACTCTTTGTCCCATGTCTTCCACAACACTTCCGGGCAGATATTGGTCAACAATTTGACGATATTTGAGTTGAGTCACTACAGAGACAAAGATAAGGAACTGTTGTCAGCATTTGTGGCACACAATCAGTCCCTCAAAAGTCTTACGTTTAGGACTAGTACTAAATCTCAGGAAACACTTAACGAAATGAGTGTCCAATTGTCACGATTACCACAATTACGGGATTTGAGACTCGGGTTTGAGTTGTATAGCAATGAGCTATCAGTGAACGAGACTTTGCTTACAATTGGCTTAAATTGCAAACAATTGCAACGATTGACACTTATGTCGCTCTCATGTTCCGACTATTCAATGCAATTAACGTTGGATTCGTTGGGATCTTATCGCAGATTAAAGCGCTTACAATTACAGTATATAAACATCGATATCAATGCGGATCCGTTTAAACACTGCCAGAGATTAACTCATTTAGAGCTGATATTAACGCCAAAGATAGCAAAAGTGTTGGAAAATTGTCATCAAAATTGTTCACGACTTCAATATCTATACATTTATTATACCGAAGACATGATAGAGTCTAATAGACATACCTATCAGATAGACACAGAGTGTTTGTCTCACATCTCAAGACTACCGGCGCTGCAAATGCTTGTCTTTCAATGTTATGGAAGCACTCGTTTCAATGATAATGATTTGAATGCTGTGTTGTCTTCGAGTCCTAAACTCAAGACAATTGAAATCCGTTTAAACAACAGAAAGAAGTTATTTTCAAAGTAAAAATGCAATAAATGTTTAGTGATTTTTAATTCATTTCAAAGTTTGAAATTCAAACTTAAAATTAAATGATCTATAATTGACTTATTTTTCTACGTTTTCATTAAAAATAAAGTTTTAATAAAATAAAAATTTAAATTATTATTTGATTTTTCTTTATGAAATATGTCTTAATTTTTGTGTATTTTTTATTCTACATTTATTACTGTATAAGTTATATAATTATTATCATTAATACTTATGGCAAATAATTAAGGTTTAATTTAATACACTTATTAATAAAATTTATAATTAATTTAATTATTCAATTAAAAGATTTAAATAAAGTATTAATAATTAAATTTTGGTCTAAATGTGTCACAAATATTAGTGAATAGATGTCAGTCTCGTTGTCGTCAGTGTTTTGTATACTTTTTGATCACTCAAAACTCAAACGAGCGGCGAATGGTTTTTTCTTGATCCCTCGCTAGTAAAAAGGCGATATTTGCGCACTATTACTAACTGGTGAATTCTCTATTCCCAACTGGTATACTAGTTTCAAATAAACCAGTGGCAAATAGAAAATTCTCTATTCAAGACGGTATAATAATAGACTAAGCATTACATTTTAATGTATTATTGAATAGATATTTATTGATTACAAACTCAAAATAATTGTTGATTTATATACTGTTGATTATAGAGTGTTGAAATATTTATTAATTATAAACTCCAAATAATTGTATCATTGAATACATGTTTGAATGATTAATTACTAAATACTTTATAAATATGAAAATTACAAACACAGATAACTATCGTATTTAGCATGATTACGTAATCATGCTAATTATTACAAACAATTAATTATAAAAACTTTATAAATGTTAAAAAGTTGTTGATCTCCACTGAGAATGTCTTGTCTGATAGTCAAAATGATTGTTTCTCCCGTATATTCATGTCTTCAATTGTTGTGTTGTAAACATTATGCTTGCATTGCTTGCCTTTGTTTAGATACCAACCAAATAGCGATTTGATTAAATTCTCTGTAATTTAATATAATATGTTTAAAAGATGCTTATTAGTGGTAATAATGTGTAGCGTGATTACGTAATCACGCTACATTTCAATGCAATTAAGTCATGACTTACTTATCGCTTATTTCATTGATCTCTATTACAGACAATTGCATTCAAAACATTAATCATATAATATGTTAACAATCTATTTTACATTTAAATTTAAACAATCACAGTATAACTGTTGAGGCAAATAGTCATTCAAATATAAATAACTTCCAATTATTTTGTTTGGTTGAATTGGAGAAAACACAACGTGTCGGCCATTGGTATGCTTTGCTATGCAAGTGCACTGCACGCCAAACACACCAACAGCTCAGGTCTCACACAAAGTACGTCCACTTTTTACGAATAATCTAGTGTACAATAGTTTCCTAGTTTTAACTAGTAAATTGGATTTTGGGTGTATGCCATTCAATAGTCGGAGGTTTTCTTCACATCATGTGTTTGTGTCTCAAGTGTTGAACCGATTGGTGGGCGACGAGTAGTTTTGAGAGTCCTGTGATCCGGACGTGTATTGTCAACTGATCCATGT